GAGGGAATCTCGTTTCAACGCTTCGTAACTCATTAGTTGCATGAATGTATGACTGACGTTTGATGAAACCTAGTGATAAGATAATCCTGTGTTGCAATATGTATGTATACTGTGTGAAGAGGATAGATAATCTTGTTATCTCGTCACGCCGGAACATCAGACACGAGCCGGTCACTCGCTTTAACCGAAGCGAAATGTTGTTTATGACGTTGATACTATTCATTTTCCACTACATATTTACTCGTGTCTCGCTTCATTTAGCGAATAATATTTATCTTTCAACTTCCCAACGATTTCATTGAAAATTTCACACGCAGTTTTCCTAAAATAAATTATTTGGCACTGTTCATATTTTTAATTCTACGTGTAATCTTTCACGAATAAAAGGATTTTATCCTTTCGCAAATTTGTCAAATTAAATATTTCCCAGAATCTCTTCATTCATTCGTGACACGTTAATTAATTTCAGTTCCATCTTCTCCTTGGTTTGTATTTGTAATTTCATTGTAATTAATGTGTTTAATATCAGCGCATTGTAATAATATTCCAGAATTCCCATATTTAATATTCTAGAATTATCATGTTGGAAAGCGATCATCCCGCCCCGAAACTCGATACAATTACTGGATCAAACCAGTCTAATATTGATCGTAATATTGTATTTAGTCAAATATTTACTGAACAAAAATTAATCGACTTCTAATAAAAATAACCGTATTTACTACACGTGATAAATAATCGTAAAATTTGGTAATAATTGTTTATTTGAAATTTCATTATTGATACGATCACTTAGTGGTTGTTTTCGTCTATTAACATATGTAATTCGTTTCCCGTATGATTTGATATTTCCGATTCAATCCAATAAAATCTCAAGTACCACAAGAACTTTATCATATCAAGCATCAATCGTCGTCATAGCATGATTCTCCGAGCGGATAATACTCGATGAAAGCTGGTTCGCCGGGTTTTCTTGTCGCTTCGAGCGGTCACTCTGACATCTTTATCGAGATTTCCTTGTACCGCAGCCTCGTGCCGGCGTAAATACACTTTTCCTCCGGTTCGAGTGTTAAAATACCACTCGAACGTATCCTCCTTGTAAGAGGACCTCGAGTGCCCCTCGAGAGACCGGGTTGAACATAGGTTTCCTGCGGAGGTTATTCTTTAGGGGAGAGAAGAGCTTGAAGCAACGCACATCTTTGATATCGTTGATAATCATCCGTAATTATTTCCCAACGATTAAATTTCATTATTTTTAAAACGAATTAATTTAATTTTGAACTAAAAAGAATAATGTAGATTAATAAAGAAATAAAGAAAGAACGGATAAACGATACTAGCGTACAATTAAAAAGTTAAATATTTTCAACGAATTAATTTAAGGAAAATATCTTGGCAAATATAGTTACATTATTTGCTATCTCTCCTACATAATTATTTTATAAAAAATTCGCAATACACTCGACGAGCTCTATCCATTTATAAAAAATTGAAGTACGAGACACCAAACGGGCTCGATGATTCAATTGCTTCAGATATATTTTTTCTAAAACTACATTCTTAAGAATCCCACGCATAGAGCCATCGACAATTTAATTAAGAGCCCTCCAATAATTTATTTATCGTGAACAACGAGTGTTCAAGCTAAGAGCAGTTTCAAGTAACCACCCCCCAAAACGCAAGCCACAAGATGCGACCCACTAAGATCAATTCGACCCTCGACGAGACGCTAGTTGGAATCGAATTCGACTCGAGAAATCGTTCAACCATAATGTGAAACTGCTCAATATTTTCTAATTCGAAAATCGTCGAGCCGGCTCATTGAAAAAGAATGAAAAAATCGCGCAAGTCGTGCCTCTAAAAAAATCTGCTGCGCGCCGCATGCCCAGGCCGGAGGGAGCAAGGAAAAACACGCTCTTTCGCCACCAATCGGAACACCAATTAAAACTTGAAGATAGTCGGCGGAGCCAGTGAATCGTGTTCACGGTTAGAGCATCCCTTTGTCGAAATCCTCCCTCGGAGCGGCTCCGCGCGTTTCCTCCCTCATCGAGACACGCACAGCTCCTCGTTCCGGTGGAAACCACGGCCGAGTAAATGTTAACGATAGGCTCTAATAGAGCGAAATAGACATAGAGCCATAGTGGTCCTCATTCTACGACCCCCGTCCCCGACATCTCTCTATCTCTCGCAGGAAAAAAAGTCAAAAACCATCGAAGTCGTCGAGCACGAGGATGATGGAGGACGGGAAAGGAAGACGAAGGTAGGGGGTTGGAAAGACAGAGAATATCGCGGTATACGGAACACCGGGAGCTCGAGTTGTTCGAGAATAAAAGAGTAATTTTCCGGGTGGTGAGACCCCGATAATGGGGTTGCAGACTGCCGAGTCGACTGGAAAGTGATTAAGCACACATGACGGAGCCCGCGGACTCGCCAGGATATTACGAGTCACCCCTTTCAACCCACCTCCGCCGTCCTTCTACCTTCCATCGTCAACCCCTTTCGCCTCTCACTCCCTTATATCGTCCCACCTTCTTCTGTTCTCCTGGTACGCGGGATCGTACTTCTAATTCTCGTCCCTTACCTTATTCGTACACGGTATTGGACAGATAACGACCCTTTCCTACGAGCCGCCGACTACGAGCCACCCTTTCAAACACCCTGCACCCCTTTAACCGTTCGCGGAATCCCGTGACGAGAGAGCGGGGGTAACCGGTCTCTCGATATCGACTCCGTCGTCTCCTCTTCCGGACCTGCGATTCTTCCGGTCCTGGTTACTCGAGAATCGTACCTCAACCCCTATTCCCCCACTTTCGTTCCCTCTGCCTATCCTTTGCCACCCCCCTTTATCGTAGAATGTAAATGAATCGTCTTCGACGCGGGGAAAGTTGAGTAACAGGGTGATTTCTTAAGTAATTCCTTGAGAGGGAAGTTTCCGGGGATGGATGGAACGGGGTTTGTTGCACCCCTTTCTGTAATGGTGTTTTTTCTATATTGAGGGGAGGTTCTAGATATTCTCATAGTTCAGGGATGATTGTTTCGGGATGAGGCGAATCGTTCCCTTTGAACGTGGAATGTTTTTTTATGATGCTTGTGTATTATTATTTGTTTATAAGAATATTAGTGGAACTGGTACTTGCTGATCAGATATGGTCAGAATATAATAAATGTCTTATACTTTACAATTTTATTCGCTATCGAATTAATTTGTAATATAATAATTTATGCTACTAATTACTATGTATCTTCTACAATGAACAATAAGGTTTGTGTTCCAAATCTCGATAACACAAAGCTCAGTAGAATCTCCCAGTAAAGTCAGACACTTTTCAAATCCGCTGCACTGTTACACTCGCAACAGTAATCACACTCTACTACAACAAACAGAATAATCGATATAAGCCACACATAAATAACGAAATGCACATTCACAATTTCCCAGATTCACCCAAAAACACTTCATCTAAAACACTCGCAAACCAAAACCCACGAAAAACGTCTAACACCCAGCAAGGCGAGCAAAATCCGAAATAACCGTGCATAAAGAAAGCCGTCCAAACGGCTGAGGATCGAATACACGAATCCCCCTTTACGACATCCACCAATCATTCCTCCGAAAGTCGTCTCTGAAGATCAGGGCGACGTGTCCAAACGGCCCCGCGGGTGGTTCACAAACGGGGGATGCGGAGACCGGTCCGAGTAATCGAGAGAGCCCGAGGACCGATCTCTCTTTACGGTCTACCGATAGAGACGGTCGTTATCCATGGGGGCTTGGAGTGGCCCTATCGTGGAAAACCACGCGTTGACCGATTCCGTGCAGGCAGACAGAGACGACCGTGGCAGCTCGGGGGCGGTTTTGTGGAGAAACATGCCTCCCGGACATATTCAGCCCGCGAAACGCAAAAAGGAGCTAGCGAAGAGGGAGGGGGATGAGAGTGGCAAAAAAATGAGAGAGAGTCCATCTATCCGGTCCATACGCCACAACGGGGAACGATATGGAAAGAGGCGGGTGACGGGAGGCCGAAGGGGGTGAAGTATTGGCCTCGTCAAGCGGTTTCAGGCTTGCCGATATTCCGGCCGCTTCTCGTCGACCCTTATGAAGCCAATTACACTTTGCCTCGCCAAAGGCACCCCACTTATACCAGCCAGCCGACGTTTCTGGGGTTCTTCGGCTCGCGACCGGTTCCGCAGCACGTACCGGGTTTATATTAGATACCGCTACTGTAAAAGCCGCGCCACCCCTTTTTCGTCGCTCGAATTCTCTCTCTCTCTCTCTCTCTCTCTCTTGACGTGTGTCTACTCGCGTAACGATGATCAAGCACACCGGGGTTCGGCGTAATTATCGGTATAATTATTGACTTCGTGGGGTGGTTTTAATTTTGGGTAATCGTGGCCTTTGGTGCAACATGTTTCGGCCTCTTTGAACTGATAATAATAAGTGCTGTATTTGCTGGAAACATTTGTTTCGTGGAACTTGTTATATGGTAGAGAGTATTGGTACATCGGATAGCCGTGTGTATCTATTGTGAATGATATTAGATTGAATTGAAGTTAGAGGTTCAGATGGTTTAGGCTTGGTGTTGTCTGATTATTTATGGAACTGTGGTTTATCAGATGAAAGAGAATTCTAAGATGTAACGATACTTAAGTATGCTTCGATAAACTAAGTGTTAATCGTGTGACTTCAACTGCAAAAACAATTGAGTACTGAAAATAAGTTACGTTATAATACACTTACACGTGATCCAATTAACGCTACTTCAAATGTTAATGCTTAACAACTCTCGTCTTCCCCGGTCAACAGGTTGACCTTCCATTCTTTCCCCGTCATCCCCGAATAAAAGCAAATCAACGTTCAAACCAAGCCAAGAGTCGAACGTTTAAGCGATCCCGAATTAAAACACGCGCACAAAAGCCTCGCCAGTTATAACGTTAAATGACTCGAATAACAGCGTTCGCTGGGGATCCAGGGAATTCAAGCAGCATCCTGATTTCTGTTCCAGGTCTGACGAGAGCGCCGATGTATCCCTTCTCCACGGGTCAATATCCGTACCCCATGCTTAGCCCGGAAATGACGCAAGTCGCCGCTTCCTGGTAAGTCAATACACGTTTTCACCGATTGAAAAACGTCACCGGCAAACAGCTCGTTGATCAATCTCATCTTTGTCTTCCGAGAGGGTTTTACCACCGGATCGATCCCGCCACCCCTGGCAAGCTTCTTCTTCGCTCGCCGGATAAAAGGAACGATTAAACACACCGACTGCTCTACGTACACGTGCTCGCGCGCACGCGTTCTACTCCGTTCTACTCAGCTCTGCTCCGCTCTGCTCGGCTCCGATCTACTCGGCTGCTTTCTCGCGCACGTGCAGACTCGAATTAACGATTCCTTGAACATT